CAGGGATGTCCAAAAGCACATTGGGGATGAATCCCTGCTCACATGGCGTGATCGGAGAGGAACTGGCAGGGCAGGGAGCACCCTGAGCACACCGGGATCACCCTGCCCAGGCCGGGGCATCCCTTAGTGCTCAGGGGAAGAAATTAAAAAACCAAATGAAGTCAGCAAGAAAAAAAAAAATAAATAAAGTCAGCAAGAAAAAATAAATAAACAAACTCAGGGGGGGAAAAAAAAAGTAAAGGATGCAGGGTGCGGCTTGGCAGCACGTCCCGCTCAAAGGGCACAGCCACTGTCAGAGAAAACCATCTCTGCCCACGCCGCGGTGGCAGGAGCCTCCCAGCGCGGCCGTGCCTGGGCAATAAACCACGAGTGATGCCGTCGGCACCGGGAGAAAGGGCGAGAGCAGCCGGATCATCTCGGATCCCTCCTGGTATCCCTCCCATCCCAGGGGTTTGGCAGAAAGCCAGCAGGAAAGAGAAGTCCTGGCGTCCCCCAGGAGCCTCCTGGCAAACGGCGTGCCAGAGAAAGCCCTGGCTCTTACCTTCTCCACGTCCACCGTTTTACAGCGGGGATCCATCCGTGGTGGGGGCCGCGCCGCGGCGTCCGCCTCCTTCTCATCCGCCGGCTCGGGGTGGCTCTGCAAACAGACGGAAAACCCCGCGGTGAAGCACCGGCCGCAGAGGCGGGGGTACGGCAGTGGCCGTGCCACCCAGGGGCACGTGCAGAGCTCGCTCGCGCCTGCCCGCTAAATAAATAAGGGAAAAAATCTGATGAATTTCAGTCAGTCGGTTCTGGCAGAGCAGGTTCCCGAGGGATGTGACCGCCAGCGAGCCGCGCTGCCCGTCGGACCATGCGCCGAGTGCCACGCGCTCCCGGCTTTTCCGAAATCTTCCCCCAAGGCTGCTTTTCGGGCCGCCTCGCCACGCTGCCGGGAGGGTGCCGAGTGCTTCGTTGCGAAGCGGAGGCTCCCGGGTCTCTTGCCAGCGTTCCCCCCTGCACATGGGCAGTGCCATAGCACAGCTCACCTTCCCGCGGGCCACCGAGCACCAGCCCGAGCCAGCGCAGCGAGGGGCATCGCTGGGTTAGTGCTTGCAATGCCGGTGCCAGGCTCCCACCTCCCCACCCCGCTGCTCTCCAGAAAAAGCCCAGCTCGGTGTTTCGGTCCCCAAAACCGCTGGGGTGCCAGCGCTGGGTAGTGTGGCACGGCCAACTGGTGCCACCACCGCGGCTCTGGGCACAAGGGACAAAAACCACAGCAGGATGGAGCTCGCCGCGGGGAAAAAGGCAAAGCGCCCTTTGCACGGTGGCACTGGGCCAGGCACCTTAAAAAAAAAGGCTAGAGAGGGCACAGCAAGGCCCAGGGGATGCGCTGGCATGGCGGCGGTGGCGGGACGAAGCCCCGGCTGCGGTCCCGCTGCTGGGGCTGGCTGAGAAACAGGAGAAACCTGCCTTGGCTCATGCTTGGAAGCAACCGCGGCGCTGGCTGCCAGCACTGGCCT